GACAAGCTCTCGTTAATATGCGTTTTTCGCATTGCATTGCTGCAAAAAACGCATAAAAAAAGACAGAAGGGCTACTTGTATGCCCGGACTACCACGTACCAAGAAGTTGCATCACTCGGGAAGGAGTAGGCTATCCGAAGGTTAGTTCCACGATAAAATTTGTGAAGTAAGGACCAGAAGTTAATAAATCATGATGACATCCATTGTTTACGAAATACCAACGAAAAACAATGACTACGTCACATCCCTGCGAAAAAAAAGACCAAGCCATTTTGAATCCAAAATCGTGTAAACGGGAAAAACTTAGTAGAAAGCGTACCGGCTGCCGGTACGAGGATGCGTTTTTTGCACAGTTTCCCCCGCAGGTTTCTTCGCCAGTGGTACGTTCTTTCTGGCAGATGCTTCTAGCTAAAAGAATTGGGACTGACCACCACGACTGTTAGAAATTATAACAATGACTCCCAATCCATGCCTAGAAGACCCAGCGCTCTGGGTACCTCGGTTGCAGAGTTACGTCAGACTTCACGTGTTCATGCGTGAGTGATTGCGTAAATGCTTTCTTCGCCTGCAGTTGCTCAAACACGGTTCTGGGTAGCGCTCGGAAATTTTCAGCACTCTAGCTGCTCTGGTTGCAGGGTTACGTCAAATTTCACGTGTTCGTGCGTGAGTGGTAACGTGAATGCTTTCATCGTTCACGCCTGCTTAAACACGGTTATGGGTAGCGCTCAGAAGGTTTCGGCACTCCAGCTGCTCTGGTTGCAGAGTTACGTCAAATTTCACTTTTGCACGTGTGGAACGTACGTGACACGTAAATGTGATGTGCAAGTCGTTTTTACGTGCGCTTGTGTCAAAGGTCATCGGTTATGCTCAGAAAGTCCAGATCCTCTGGCTGGTTCAATTCTGAAGTTACAAGAGCGCGTTCGTAAAATTTTCACGTTTTCGTACGTGCGATGCAAAAGAGCTGAGTAGTAATTTACTTACACGGGCACAACAGTAGGCAACAAGTGATGCTGCAAAATTGCAGCCCTACAGCTTATCGGTCAGCTTAAAAGTAAAGTTGGCATGATGCCAGTTTAAATTTTGGCGTGTGCGCACGTGAGACCTGAAGGTGCGTGAAGGCTGAATTTAAAATCCTTGGATTAGACGCTGACAAGGAACAACTCTGTGAAGTTCCAGCCTTCTAGCATGGGCCGTTCTCGAAAACGTTTTCCCGCCAAAAAAGCTTTCAGTGCCCCTACGTGAGAACCACGCGGACCTGAGCGTCCATTTTGAGGATACGAGCCCACACGTATGTGTAGATTAAGCCACCAAATTTTCAGCCTTGTAGCTTTTGCGGATCTCGAGATGAAAACTCGTTACAGACGCACACACAGACACACACGCATACACACACACACACACATGCACACACAGACAACCCCTCGACAATATGCGTTTTTGCATTGCATAGCTGCAAAAAGCGCATAAAAACAATTAATTATTTAGAGTAGTTGGAGATTTGAGTTATTAGGAAAAAATTTCATAAACTATAATGTAACAAAAGAGGTGACTCACATACACTGAACAGGCGTAGCTGTTGGCTGTGTGTGTACAGCTCTGAGTCAAAAGATTTGGCATGGATATGCCTGTCGCGTGGAAACAGGTCAGTAGCACCACCAACTGGTTGTCTTGCCGGTTCTGGAAGTTACTGTTTCACGAGCCAGTTCCTTTAAAAATTTGTCAAAAATTTGCTGGAAGTTGAAAATGATACTGATTTTGCATTTGCGTACTATTCCGAGGTGTAAGCGATCGCCAGTGAAGGCGCAGCCGAGTGGCTTTGAATTCATGCAGCTCAGTTTTCATGCGTTTTTGCATATATGCAAATGCGAAAACGCATATTGCGACGACCCCGGTGTGTGTGCGTATGAGTGTGTGTGTGTGTGTCCGGGTATTTTAACTCGGCACCCAACCAAGCTCCGGCGCCAAAATTTTGCCGGTGGTTTCTTCAACCAAGAGCCACTCCAGGACCGCGGTATCAACCTTCACGCAAGTTTGGACTGCGCGCACGAGAAGGTCAAAGTTTTAGCGGAGAAATCGCTAACTCAGGAACCAGAAAAGCTAGGAAGCTGAAATTTTGAGGTTATGTTCCCTGCTTGCATATAACTCAAAGATT